GTGGATTACATTTATTGATTTACATATGTTAAACCATTCCTGCATGCCTGGGATGAATCCCACTTGGTCATGGTGTATAATTTTCTTGATGCTTTGTTGCACCCTATTTGCCAATATTTTATTGAGGATTTTTGCATCTGTGTTCATTAGGGAGATTGGTCTATAGTTCTCTTATTTTAGTTGAGTCTTTCTCAGGTTTTGGTACTAGAGTAATATTTGCTTCTAGGAATGACTTAGGAAGGATTAATTCCCTTTCAATTTCATTGAAGAGTTTGAGGAATGTCGGCATTAGGTCTTCTTTGTATTTCTTAATAGTATTCTGCAGTGAATCCATTTAGGCTGGGCTCTTCTTGGTAGGAAAGGACTTAATTACATTTTCAATTTCATTAAGAGAAATTGGGTTATTCAGCAGTTTTACATCTTCTTGACCTAGCTTTGGTACTTGATATGCTTCTAGGAATCTGTCTATTTCTTCTGTGTTATTAAACCTTTAAGAGTAGAGGTTTTCGAAATAGGTGTGATGATCTGTATTTCTATAGAGTCTGTAGTGATTTCACATTTTTCATTCCTTATTGCATGAATTTGAGCTTTTTCTTTCCTTTTTAAAATAAGGTTGGCTAGGGGCTTATTGATTTTATTTATTCTTTCAAAGAACCAACTCTATGATTCATTGATTCTTTGGATTGTTTTCTTTTGCATTGATCTATTGCATTGATTTCTGCTCTGACTTTTATAATTTCCTCTCTTCTTTTGGCTTTGGGCTCGACTTGCTCTTCTTTTTCTAGATGTTTGAGGTATAATATAAGGTTATTTATTTGTAATCGTTCTGTTTTCCTGACATGGGAATGCAGTGCAATAAATTTTCCTTTGAGGATGGCTTTCATTGCATCCCACAGATTCCAGTAAGTTGTATTTATGTTTTCGTTTGCTGCTAGGTATTGTTTAATTTCTTCTTTAATTTCCTCTGTGACCCACTGATTACTGAAGAGTGTGTTACTCAGTTTCCATGTATTTGTGGCATTTTTGCAGTATCTTTTATCATTAATTTCTAATTTCATAGTGTTATGATCTGATAACATGCAAAGGATAATTTAAACTATTTTGCATTTATTTAAATATGTTCTGTGAGTTAATATAAGGTCTATTTTAGAGAATGACCCATGTACTACTGAAAAGAATGTGTTTTCTGTTGTTGCATGGACCACTCTGTATATGTCTATCAAGTCCATTTGTTCACAGGTGTGATTCAGTTCTGTTATTTGTTTGCTGATTTTCTGTCTGGTTGATCTGTCCCTTGTTGTCAATGGTGTGTTAAGATCTTCTGTTAGAATTGTGTTACTGCTAATTTGGTGTTTCATTTCTGTTAATAGTTGTTTTATATAACTGGTTGCTCTGAAATTTGGTGCATATATATTTACGATAGTTACCTCTTCCTCTTGAAGTTTTCCTGTAACCTGTATGTAGTGACATTCTTTATTTCTTCTGATCATTATTGGTTTGAAGTTTACATTGTCTGCAAACAGAATAGCTACCCCTGCTTTTTTTGGGTTCCTGTTGCATGAAGTATTGTTTTCCATCCTTTGACTTTCAGTCTGTGAGTATCCTTTTGGGATAGATGGGTTTCTTGTAGACAGCATATGGTTGGATTTTGTTTCTTGATCCATTCTGCCAGCCTGTTTCTTTTAATTGTTGCATTGAGACCATTTACATTAATGGTTATAACTGTTATATGTTGTTTTATTGTTGACATGTTATCTTTCTGCTGTTGCATCTGTACCTTTCTGTTCTGTTTAATTGTCTGCTTTGTTTAGTGGTTTTTTCCTAAGTGTATCTAAACTGTCTTTCAGTATTCTATGCAGGGTTGGCTTGGTGGTCATGAAGTTCTTCAGCTGTTCTTTGTCATGGAAGTATCTTATTTCTCCATCTATTTTGAAGGACAGTTTCGCAGGGTACATCAGCCTAGGTTGGAAATCATTTTCCTTTAGGATGTGAAATACTTCACTCCATGCTCTTCTTGACTTTGTTTGTGTTGAGAAGTCTGCTGTGATTCTGATAGCTTTTCTTTTATAGGTGATCTGTCTTTTCCCTCTAACAGCTTTTAATATTCTATTCTTTTGTTGGGTTTCTGGGATCATGATTATTATATGTCTGGTTATATTTTGGTTATGGCTATTTGGAGTTCTATATGCGTCACTGATCCTGATATCAGTTTCCAGTCTCATGTTTGGGAAATTATCAGCTATTACTTCTCTAAATATCCTCTTGACATCCTTTATGTTGTCTCCTTCTTTTTCATTTATCCCTATCAATATTATGTTGTTTTTCTTTGTGTCATCTTGCAGTTGTTGAATTGTTATTTCCTGGTTTCTTGTTATTTTTAAAAGATTTTTCCTTTCCTGTTCACTGGCAATAATCTTGTCTTCAAGGTCTGAAATTCTATCTTCACTTTCATTGAGGTGGTTTTTACAATTTCAATGGAATTTTTGATTTCCTGTGTATGACTTTGCATCTGCATTAGGTATTCTGTTTGTTTCTTGTATTCATCCAGGGATTCTATCTTTTTGTTTAGTTCCTCCAATTTTCATACTGTGTCTTCTTTAGATATGTTCAGCATCTCCTTCATTTCTTTTATCATTTCTTCTTTTACCTTGGAGATTATTTCTAGTTTGAATTCCTTTAAAGCTTCCCGGAGTTGCTTCTTTATTTCAGTTACTATTATTTCAGGTATTTCAGGCATATGGCATGTATTTTCTTCTATGTATATAGCTCCTAGGTTTTCTTGGAATGGGCTGGAGGTTTGAGATTGCATTTTGGTCTTTTGTTTTGTCATTTTCCTATACTTCGGTGTTTCAAGTGTTGTTCCAAAGCTTCCCCTTGGGCATTAGAAATTGTCTCCTATGTCCTGGGTTCCTGGGACTCCTCTGGTAGCATAGCTCCCTCCTTGGGCAGCCAAGTCCCCAGATTAAAAGAAGGTTGCCAGGCCCTTCTCAGGGACAGGTCTAAAGCCTCCTCAAGCTGCGCGGCTCCCCCCTCTGGCAGAAAACCTCCCCTGATGGAAAGAAGGCCACCTGGAGTGGACCAGGCAGGCCCAAATCCTGCTAAGCCCAATCTAGTGTGGCCGCAAGCTCAGCGGGCCCCCAAAGCCCTACAGCAATGATCTCATAGTCTCCCGGGGATTGGATGTTGTGTAGTCATCTACTTCATTGGATGGCAAAGCTTCCCAGGCTGATAGAAGGTGACCCTATGGCCTAGGTAGGCCTCAAACCTCCTCAGCAGGGCTGCTCCCTCCTCCAGGCGGTGGCAGTAGTGCTGGCACTCTCCAAGCAGAAATAAGGTCCCAGGCAAGGCCACAGCAGGTTCCCGTGGCTTGGCCCAGCTCCCTCCTCCAGGCGGCAGCCTCTGTGTTATCTTCACAATAGTTGTTCTTTCCATCAGGTATAGCAAAACTAAATGAAATACCAGAACATTATAGAATTCATCAAAACAAAATATTGAACAGAGCAATACTATTAATCAGAACAAAGCAAAACACTGATAAAAATATTTGCCTTCAAAGAGATGGTAGAAGGAAATTTCCCTTGTTTGCTATATTGCATATGGTCAGCCTTCCAAGAGATGCTCAGATCTCTGGCTCCCATTTGCTAATGAAAGCAGGGAGGATGGGATGTTTGATTCTCAGCCCAAGGCAGGATCCTACACGGTAGGATCAAGGCCGTGTACTAGGGTGGCAAGCTGTTTGCTTGGTTTCCCCCCTTTTAAATTTTTATTTTGAGTCAGGTTCTCATTAAGTTGTTGAATTGCCCAGGCTGGCCTAGAACTCCTGATCTTCCTGTCTCAGCCTCCCAGAGGGCTGGGAGTACAGCATATACCACTCCTGACTAGCAGTTTCCTTTTGCACAAGTTTCCTTTTGCACAAGTGTTGCAAGTTTCCTTTTGCACAAGTGTTGCATCTGTCACTCCTGGCTGTGCCTCAGCATTGGAATTTGCTTAGTCAGACACCAGAGCCTAGTCACAGAGGATTTGGGAGATGCAGTCTTGACATGTTCTGAATCCAGTGGGGCTGAAGCAGAAGAATCTGCTGTGTAAACCAGCCTGGGATCCTTAGGGAGTTCAAGTCCAGCTTGAACTACATATTGAGACCCTGTCTGAAAAACCCAACTCCTGCCCCCTAATAAAATAAAGTAATTACTTAGTAACAGCTTGTAGATTAAAAAATAAAGTGTCTCAGCTGGGTGTGATGGTGCATTCCTATAATCCCAGTACTTGAGAGACTGAGACAGAAGGATCTCCACAAGTCCAAGGCCAGCCTAGGCTACATAGTGAGACAGTCTCAAGAAAATAAAAGTAAAGGAAACAAAGAAAGACCACGAAAACAGTAAGAAGAAGTCTGGGGATGTACGCAGCCCAGTGCAATCCCTAGTACCACAGGGAAAAGGGAATGGAATGTTCTGGCACAGTGCCCCATCCCATCCCCCTCCTCGGCTCCTGAAGCAGCCTCTCCTGAATGCGTCCATTCTGTGCTTTGTTGCATCCTCTTACTGCCTCCCTGTGCCATCTCTGTTCCGGTCTCCTGTTGACAGATGTCCTGCTCAGTTTTGAAGTTTGTTTTTCAAGCAGTGTTGCTTCTACTGGGTGTGTTAGTCATACCCGTGATCCCAACACTAGGGAAGCCAAGAAGGGAGGATCACTATGAGTCCGAGGCCAGCCTGGACCATGTAGTGAGACCCTATCGCAGAAAGCAAAACAAAATAAAATAAATAAATGAGATCCAGTGCTGCTTATGAATATTTGAGGTGTGTCTCTAAGGAGGTCTGAGAGGTTTGGGGGAGCATACGCTGAGGTTGGAATCCCAGGGAGGCAAAGGGGGTGCCTCCACAGTCTCTCATTGAGTGTTGCACATGGCTTCCCACAGCAACTATGCAGTCCCTGCTGCCACTGAGTTCAGCTGCAGGGCCCCGGCCCTCTCTCCCAGACACTCATCTTCTTGCCTTGGTCTGTAGGATGCTGCAGGCCAGAAGATTGAGGAGATGAAACAGGAATACCGGGAAATGAAGGTGCTCATTGACTCCTTTGAGGCCAGCACTATTCACAAGATAAAGGAAGAGGAGAAGAGGGTCAGCAGTGAGTTCGACAATGCTTATCAGATTCTGCTCAAGAAGAGGAATGAGATCCAGACCCTAAAGGATGAGCTCGAGCTCAACCTGGCTGAGAAGGACAAGTTCGAGTTTGTGGAGGTGGGTGTTGAGGATCACGCTACTGAGTACTTTCTGTCCTCCCAGAGCTGGGACTGGAGGAGGCATTAGAAGCATCCCTGATCAGCTGGGTGTGGTGGCACAGACTATAATGTCAGCACTTGAAAGGCTGAGGCAAGAGGATCACTACAAGTTAAGACCAGCTTAGGCTATATAGTGAGTTCAAGATCAGCCTGAACTGTCTACCAAGATGCACACTGTATTAGTTTCCTGTGCAGTGCAAAAACTGGTCCCGAACATAAGGGCTTAGGAGAACACACCATTTTTGTCTGTGTGGCTGGCCCAGGATCTGGGTGCGGTTTCTTGGATTTTGTGTCTGGGGTCTTAAAAGGCTGTTTCAGTGTTGGGTAGATTGTGCTGGGTTCCGAGCTCAGGCCTGTCCTTTAGGCTCAGCTGGTTTTTGGCAGGCTTCATTTCTCTGGGATAGTGGGGTACAGCTCCCCACATTCTTGCTGCCCATTTCCTGAGGTCTTCTGTGGACCTGGCTGCTTATTTTCTGAAGCCAGGGGGAGAATGTCTTTCCATTTCTCTGTGGAAGCAGTTTGACTTGTTTAAGTCTGGCTCCTGTGGGAAAATCACCTGTTGGCTCATTCAGAATCAGCTGACATGGAGTCTGGATTTTACCTGCAGTGTTCCTTCCCCTTTGCAGTATAATGTAAGTCAGTCAGGTGCGATGCCCCAGCCCACTGCCATCCTCACAGGGAGGGATTGGGCAGGTTGTGTGCCCAGGCGGGGCAGGAATGTGGGGCCATCCTAGACTGCCACCTCCCATGAGCCTCCCATGAGCCTCCTCCTCCTCCTCCTGTCCTCCCTCTGTGTGACCCTGAAAGTGCCCTGTGGAGCACTGGAGCTCTGCTCTTTCTGGCTTCCTGCCTGTGAGGTCCTTGGTGCCAGGCCGCACCTTTGCCTGCAGCCTTGACTCTTTCCAGTACCTGCAGACCCCGCCGTGCCCTAACTGTGGGGAGGCACTTTTCATACCCCCACACTCCGTCTGTGGGCCTGAGGCAGCAAGGCCCCCTGCCCTCTGCCCAGTGGGTCCTGTCCTGTGCCCAGAGCCAGCTACCATCTTCCTAGGGCCCGTTATTGTGCCACCTGTTGATCCAGAGCATGTCCCGCTGCCTTCACTATGATGCTAGGTGATTTTTCAGATGTGCCTGTTTTCCTGTCTCAACCAGAAGCCCATCCATGGCTTCCTGCTGCCTCCTCCTCCAGTGCCCCATGAGGAGCTTGTACCTGGTGTGCAGGGTCTGCCACCACCCCGGAGCCCCAGCCTCCTTATTCTGGGAATTGAGGGTCGGGGGAACTCTCCCTCCTCTCTGCATGATGCTGCCCATGCCAGGGCAGAGCAGGCTGAGAGAGGATTTCAGATCCGGCCTCTGCATGAGATTGGACCCCAGTTAGGCTCAAAGCTGAGACCTTCTGAGAGACCCTTCCTTCCTGTAGGATGTGCCTGTGTACTGTCCCTGGGATTGTGGCTTGAGGGAAGCCACAGAGGTCCCTGTGTTCCTGCACTGACCTAGCCATCACTGGAGGAGAGCAGGGGCCCGTGTCGCAGCTGCTTCTGTGCCACTCACTGGCAGAGTTGTTGGAAGGGCGCTGTAAGCCCTGGTGACCTCTGGCCTAAAACTTGAGCTGGCTCCTTGATCTGAGCACTCATGGGTGCTGGGATTTGCTATGGGTTGGAAAGGACAGAGCCAGGCCATGGCTTCCCCAGAGGCACCTGCCTTAATCCTCTGCCTGTTCCAGAAAGCATCCAAACTTCGAGAAATTTCCATGAAGCCAGTCTATGTCCCCAGGGTGGAGGACCAACTGATGAAGGACATCTGCAAGGGCACCGTAGGTCTCAAGAAAAAGCTGAACCGGGCTTTGCAGCGGCTCCAGGACAAGAAGTTCCAATGTAAGTGATCTGCTTCATTCTTGTGTTTCTTCTGCCCAGCACATTGGCTGGGACATCCTTTTTTTAAACACAATTTTTAAAAAAAAATCAGTACTGGGGAATGAACTAATTACTGCATGCTTACAAGGCAGACACTTATGCCGCTGAGCTAAATTCCTAGCCCTGGCTGGGACATTCTGGGGTCCTTGCACCTTCTAGCCAGACACAGCCCATCCAGGTCACTGTAGGAGCCACGGACTCCATGATGGGTACCACACAGGGCCTTTGTGGGCTCCCCTTTTGTCATAATGGAAGACTTGTCCACCTCACAAGCTAAATTCTGCACACCCAAGTTCTAGTCCCTGAGCAGTACCCTGCTGGAGGTGTGTGGGTGTCAGTGGCCAGGGTCAACACCTCAGTAGCTGGGTGGATGTGGGTCTTTGCACTGGGAATTTGTCTCTTGTTTGTTGTTGTTTTGTTTTTTTGAGACACAGTCTTGCTATGCAGTTCAGGCTGGCCTTGAGCTCAGTTTGTAGGCCATGCTGGTCTTGAAATTGCAATGATCATTGTGTCTCAGCCTTACCAAGTCCTAGGATTACAGGTGTGCACCACCATGCCTTGCTGGAAATCACTTGTGCTTTCCTCCTGTTTCTTGAATTGTTGTTTTTAAGGATTATTGCTTCTCTTGCCCCTAGGACACTTTAGAAATACTATTTCCCTGTCCCCCTGTCCTTCCCATGGAGTTTTAATACAACTATCCAGTACAGTGGCTTATATATTGTGATCTTCTACATAGAAAGAGTAGATTATTTATATCCTTCTAAACACCAAGCTTTGTCCTTTCAGGGTGATGTTACCCACATTCTTACCGATTTTTGGGTAACTCGGATGCTGCTGATTTGGGGCCTCTACGTGGAGAGCCACTTCTGACTCACACACAACTGCTGTGATAATTGACAAATTTTTTTGGCCAGCCTAGTGTTTGTTTGTTTTACTTTGTAGAAGACAAATTACGTGCAGTAAACGTATGGTTAGATATTTTGTGACAAAGGATGGGGTAGTCTCCATTCCCTGGTAAATCTGCCTGCTCCTTAAGAGTCAGCACCTCAGACAACACTGCTAGGGTTTCTGATACTGTTGATTTCTTCTGCCCACTGAGCCTTTTTGCTTTTTACGTTCAGACACACTCTGTTTGGAGGCATTGAAGCTGGAGATTGACCCCACGTGCAAGGCTGGAATATGATCATTCTAAGAACAAAGAGAACCCGGAGTAAGCCAGGTGAAAAAGCTGCTTCAGCCCAGAGAATACCTAGCCCCAAATCTGAACAGTGGGTTGCTAGGACAACGGGGTGTCATGTGACATTAAGTTGCCAAAAGGTTTATATAAACACCCCTGCAGCGAGGAGCCAGTACCTTTCCTCTCATCAGGAGAGTGGGGCTCCACCTGACCCCAGCTTTGTCTCTTCTTTGTTTTTCTCATCCTCTCACAGTCCTTAACCCTAAAGACCTCAGAAGCCACATTGGTCATGGCAATCCTCGCCGTTTACTTTAGTCATAGGTGTGCCAGTGAATTATGTGGAATGGCCGAACATGGATCAGGGCTGGAGTAAGGCTGGTCTCAAGAACAGAACACTGGAGGCAAATCACATGGATAAGCTGCTGTAATCTCAAGAACACTGGTGCCTGAGATGAGCCACATGGATAAGCTCTTAGGTGTAGACGTTCCACAAGACACTCAATCTGCCCAGCATAGAACTGAATGTGCTGCAACCATTGGAGGTCTCTTGCTCCTCCTCTCAGTCGTCCTCTCCTTCCCTCCCTCCCTCCTTTCTTCCTTCCTTCCTTCCTTCCTTCCTTCCTTCCTTCCTTCCTTCCTGCATGCCTTTCTTCCTTCCCATCAGGAGAGAGAGCTCCACATGGCCTCAATTTTCTGTATACTGACTCTTGTCCTTTTTTCAGATCCTCTTATAGTCCTCACCCTAAAAATATTGAGAGCTGCAAGGAGACCCAGAAAATGGCACCACAACAGGGACTGAGGAACAAGGAAACAGATAAGATAATACATAAGAGATGACTTCTAGCTGTGCACATAGAAAGAGAAATAGACCACATAAGCCAAAGGCAGAGAAATAGGCTTAAGGAAACCAGAGAGAGAGAAATAGGTTTAAGGGAGGCCAAAGAAAGTGAGGTATGTTGATTTTATCAGATATTAAGTATGCCAAAGGTAGTTCTCAAAAACAACAGCTCTTTATAGAAATCCTTATTCTACTATAAATTCCCATTCTTTTCTTTTGTGGACATAGACTAGGGAATGTCTCAGCAGCTGTGCACCTGCTGAGGATTCTGTTCAGAGCACTGTTTTATTTTATTTTTCTAAGTAGCTAAAGTTTATTTGTTTGTTATTTGGTATAGGATTTCATTCCACATCCTATTGCATTTTAGGCAAGTAGAGTGCCACTGAGCTCTGTATTCCCTAGTCCTTTTATTTATTTTTCAAATCCATTTTATTTCATGCAAAAAGGAAGAAGGAAAAAACTAAGACAAAATGTCAAAACACTTAATCAGGGACAACAATAGTACATAAATTGCACATTTTCATCCCCAAGTCAGATCACCATTTTATTTGTTTTTTTTTTTTTTACCTTTTTTAAAATGAGGATAAAACCAAGGAAAATAAAACAGAATAAAATGAATCAAAATAAATCAGTATAAGCGATATAGGACTTCAAAACCTCACAAAATCAACAGTAGTTACCATAATGCCTTTTTTTGTCTTCAAAATAAGTGCAGACATTTTCAGACATATTAAAAATTGAACAGAACACAATAAATACCATAAAAACAAATCAATGAATGCAGTAAAGTACTTCAAAAGAGGCCAATAGTAAATCCAAATTAGGCACCCTAATATGTCTTGCTAGCTTTTAAAAAACTGCTCATGCCATCAGATTTAACATAATAAAACATAACTGAAGAGAATAAAACCTAACCGAATGAGACAATGAGAATGATATGGTTTCCAGGTAGGGATCGCTTCCCGGTTTTCTCCCCCAACCTTCTGCAAATGGTGCTGACTCATGCAGAGAGGCTTGGGTCTGGCTGTCCCCACTCTGGCAGTGGTCCACACACGGTGCTGATTTCCAGGCCGGGATCACCTCCTGGCGAGGCCTGGTTCTCTCCCAGAGCACTGTTTTGAATCCAAGTCCTGAGCAGATGAGGAGTAGGAAGGCAACAGCCCACCAATAGAGCTCAAAGCCTTGCTCAGACAGATGAGGAAGGAGCCATGGTGGGAGGCGGCCAAGATCTTTCCCGCAAGAGGAGTGTTTCACTGTGGCTTCACTTTCACAGCTGCCCAAGGCAAAACTGTAACACTAACTGCACCACAAGCAGCAGCTTCTACCTCTTCAGCTCCGAAAAGTCTTGCATCACAAGTCAAAACTTCTACCTCTCATCGAGTAGAATCGTCTTCTTCTCCCTTACAATTGGCGTTAAAAGCAGCTGGATGGGCAGGGGAATCCATGGAGGGATTTCAACATGGCTGCCCTGTTGCGGAACTCCAGATCCCTAATAATCGGGAAAAGTCACAGTTCCATGAAGCCATACCTTTTAAGACCCTAGAAGAAGCTACTGCTTCCTATGGAACCATGGCCTCCTTTACCTTAGGTTTAATACAACTTACAGGACAAGTTGTGACCCCAAATGATTGAAGGGAATCACCAAAGCATGTTTAAGTCTTATTTATTTTATTATTTATTGTGGAAGGAAAAGCTTTTTGAATTGTGCATGAATCAGGCTATGAGCAAAACTACTCACAACATAGCCATTACAAAAATATGCTACCTGGAGAAGGTGCCTTTATCGCTGTAAATAGATTACTTTTAAACTGCAAGTATATGAACAAGTTGAAATCATTGTCCCAAGGGCTTGGAGGGAACTTCCTTCAAAGGGTGACCTTGATATGGCCTCCATCCACCAGAGTCCTGATGAACACTTCCAGGACTTTGCCACATCCTGTTGCAGGTTAGGGAGAGGATTATCAGCAATCCAGAGAATAACGAACTAACTGTTCAACAACTCAACTTTAACGATGCAAACAAATGGTGGGAAGAGGCCTTAGGAGCCTATAAAACATGTGCTACGCTGTGAGATGATTCAGATTTGCGCCAGTGCTGGCCATTTGTACAACAAGTAGCTGCCTCAGCAGCAGCTGTCACTCAGGCTATTCCTCCACAGCACAGCGGAAAAGCGACAAGGGTTCTTGTTTCAGCTGTGGACATGCGGGACCTTCTGTCCAAGATTCCTCTGCTGTAGCAGTAAGGGCACCACAGCCATTATTCATCCCTTCAGCAGAACCTTCTACTAGGAAGGGGCATAAAAGAAAGAGAGATGAAAATTGCCAGCGTTCTTAAGACAGAATAAGATATCCCTTCTGCCTCTCTCTCAGAAGAAGCTTTATTTCAATAAAGAGAATCTGCTGTTACAATAAAAGATATAAAATTATATATCATTTATGGAATTTTTTTGTTCCTATAAAATTTTCTTGTAGTAGTTCTCTGCTAACTGACCTAAAAAATATCTGATTAGTCTATTTATAATTACAAACTTCTAAAATTATAGAAGACTGTTATAATTTAATTTGCCCATAAATATATTTGAGTGTACTTGGATATTGTAAGTAAATTGTTTGTGGATGATGTTTGTTTCTTTGTCCTGTGAGCAGCTTTTTTTTTTTTTAATGTGAGCTCAACTATATTTTCTTTTGCATTTTTGGATCATTTGATCAAAGTTTACTTTGAGTTATAGACTTAAAAAGCACATCTCACCTGGGTTGCCTACTGTTCAAAATGATGCTAAAATTCATTATATAAATGTAATACATAATATTGTTTATTTCAACTTGAGAGTCTCTCATTGTTCAAAAATAATGTATTAAGTGTTATCACTGGGTTTTCATAAGTTATCAAAAATTAAGAGAGTTAGGGCTGTGGACATAGCCGAGAGGTACAGCACCTGTCTGGCAAGTGTGAGGTCATGTGTTTGATCCCCATTACCCTCCCCCCAAATTAAGACCATGGTGGGGAGAGATGAATGAAAAACACTCCAACTGGTGAATAAAAAAGCAGCTGCCTGGTAACATTAACCAGTGCTTGTTCATTAATGGGAGACCCCAGTAATCTCCATAGCCTTATGGGAGATAGGCCCAAAATTGATATTAAACTTTATTTTATTGTGATAGATTCACATTGGTCCTTGTCATGTTTAAATTTTTTAGACAATACAGTTTTTTATTTAAAAGTGTTCTGATGCAAGGGTTTCCATATGACTATGACATTTGATTGTTATTAATTTTATGTGTATTAAATTTATTCATGCCTCCAGATCTACTGGGCTTCAAAAATGTAAAATTGGATTGTTTGTGGAGATAGACATCTTCCTTCAAATTCAGACATTTGCTTTCTTTTGTGCTGCAATTAATTGTGACAGGAAGTTCATGTCAGTCCAAAATGAGGTCACCAGTCAGTAATAACACCAAAATTATATGATGTAAATATTATATATATGCCAATATTTTTAGAGATGCCTTAGTCCAGACAAGGTCACAGAATTCTTCAGTGACATCACATTAAAGGTTTACAAGTTAAGTTAGATTTTTTAATGTATTAGATAGAGATGATTGATTAAAGAGGTATACTATGTCAAAAGGAAATTTAATTATGTCACAAAAATGTCATCATGATTGTCATGTGACATTATCATCTATGGTTTTATTTTTAAATTTTCTGGGTAAAAATTTATATAACTGTTGCCTGTTAGCATTCTAAAGAGATTCAACCTTTAGAACACCCAGGGTTGTTAAAATGTGATGCTGTATGTTATGTTGTAAGGTGCTTAATATTCAGATAAAACAGTAATAGTAAGCTGTGTCCTTATTAGAAAATGCCATGTCATTAACCTGCTCTTCTGGATGTTCAACCAAGGTATGGAGACAAGAATCTAGAAAGATAGATGGGCTAAGAGGGCAGCCAATATTTGGGCCCCAGCCCTCAGAGGTTATAAGGGCACAGGGCAAGAAGGAACCTTTTCAGCAACATCCTAAAACTCTGGTGAGTACTACAAACTCCTGATCAAGGAGATTGTAGGACCACAGAGGTTAAAGATCTGTGGTCTATAGTATGTCTAAAGAGAGTCACCAGGAGAGAAAGCTCTCTCAAGATTTCACAGAAAGCAACTTGGTCAAGCAATGGCCGTGACTCATCCAGAGCGCTGACAGTGACAAAAGTCCTAGAAAGTGCTGTGCATGATACCAAGGTAATTCTTGAGGAAACTTAAGTGACATTGATAAATAACAAGAGATTGATTGTAATCAATACAAGTCTCACTCTAAGTTGGTCTTGAACATCTTGGAAAAAAATGCCACAAGAAGTATAAAACAATGCCAAAAAGAAACTTAAATCACTAATCCCTTGTGGCAATTTTCTGCCACACTGCTCACTGACTACTGCTGTGCATTAACGGACTGTACAAGGTTAAGTTACTAAATGCAGAGACTTAGAATCCTTGGACTGGAAATTTTCAGCCTCAGCAAGTTCACTCAAAGTGAAAAGGGTACAAGAATAAAAAGATCTTCTACAGATTTCTCCAAACACAGCTCCTCCAGCCTCAACTAACTTCCCGTCACTTACAAGTATAAAATAGAAAAGGGGGAGCTGTGGGGAACAGCCGATGATCAGTCACCAACATGGCGGGGCTGGAGCAAGGCTGGTCTCAAGATCAGAGCACCTGAGGCAAATCACATGGATAAGCTGCTCCAATCTCAAGAACACTGGAGCCTGAGACGAGGCATGAGGGTAATCTCTTAGGTGGAGAGGTTCCAGCCAAGAGTCAGTCTCCAACTGTGTTACTAAAGGTACTGCAGGCATTGGAGCTCTCTTGTTCCTTCCTTCCTTCCCTCCCTTCCTTCCTTCCCGTTAGGAGAATGGGTTCGCTGTGGCCTCAGTTCTCTGCATACTGACTCTTGCCCTTTTTTCTAGATACTCTCACCTATGTCGCCCTGGGAGCATCTAGAACTGCAAGGGCTGTGGCAGTGAATGTCATTAATGAAGCCATGTGTGATAGTGATACACTTTAAAATATCTGAATGTTGAGAACTTTTTTTTTGAAAAGAGTACAAGCCCAAGAAAATTCAAATGTTTCCATTTTTGTTTCTTTTGGCTTTTGAGACTTCTCCAAACCTAGAACTGAAAGCTGGCACCAAACCAGACCTGATGGCACCCACGTAAAACCCTGGGATTCAGGGAAGCTGAGGCAGGAAGATCAAAATGAATTTCTGCCCATGTGAAGCACTGCCAACCTCAGCATGGCACCTGCCCACCATGGTACTGGACAGCAGCTCCCTCCAACACTGACTTCAGGGTTCTTCTTCCAAACTAGAAAACCGAACTCCCAAGGTTTTTCATGTGTGCTAACACTCCCACAATCCTCTGTGAAAACCACACGCTGCCTGCCCCTTCAAACTCCATTGCCTGTCAAACTGAATAAATGCTTTCAGCTTCTTGTCTGCCCCCTTGGAAATCATGCACTCTCCCCCAGCTGTCCCTTGCCCACAATAAAGGCCTTTTTCTTTTGTGCTTCCTTTGCTCTTGCTTTTCTACAGTACCATGGAAAAACCTATCAAGAAGTTGGAGCCAAACCTGGACTGCTTTTCAAGTTAGGGAGACCTTGTCTCAAAATAAAAATTAAGAAATGAATGGTGATAGAGCTCAGTGCAAATGCTCTGGATCAAATCCTCTGTAAGCCAAACAAAACAGAAAAAAACTGGCAGCAAAAGGTGACTTATTTTATTGAGGTTCTGTGGTGGGCAGAATCTTACGACTATTATGCAAGGCTAGGAGCACTGCGCGAGCAGTTTAGTGGTAGAACACTTGTGTAGCATGAGTGACGCCCTGGCTTTCACCTCCGCATCACTAAATGAATAAATAGAGCCAGGCATGCATGTTCATATCTCTAATCCCAGCCCTCAGGAGGCTGAGACAGGAGGATCGCTACGAGTACAAGACCACCTTGAACTGCATAGTGAGACCTCATCTCAAAAAATGGAATGAAGGAAAAGAAAGAGAAAGATGTGATTGAAAGCCAGATGCATCGATGCACATCTGTAATCTCAGCAATGTCATGAAGTTGAGGGAGGAAGACTGCCCTGACTTCAAGGCCAGGCTGGGCTAAATGCAAAGACCCTTCCTCAAAAACAAAGTAGCACGTGCAGCCTGTTGGCATCTGACAATCCCAGCTCTTCAAGTGTGTCTTAACAAGTGGCTCTCCACAGTCCCAAGGGAGCTGAGTCCACCCCGCCCCTCTGGACTCATCACCAACTCAACACTTCCTTGCACACCTCCAGCTATAAGGGCAGACTTGCAACACACAAGATGCCCAACTTCACAGCGCCTAGACTGGTGGTAATTTGAAAATGGGTGTGCCCATCCACCATGGCCCAGGCTTCCAGCTGGATCAGCATGTGGGTGTACACCTCCAGGCTCAAAACCCTGCTACTCCTGCTTCATGTCCCAGTAGAAGAACAGCGGGTTACGGAAATGCTGTATGCACTTCCAACGGGCACATCCACCTTGCCGCAAGCCAGTGCTGCTCCCCATGGGTGCCTGGCTCACAGACTGAGCTGGGGAGAGACGGACCCAGAGGAGGGAGCGCAGCAGGTCACACAGGCTTGGCCCCCAGGACACCCAACTCGCTGCTGCTTCTCTCCCTGAGGATCCCCCTCCCCTTCCCATCCCTCCTCCCACAGCGCCTCTCCCTGCCATCTCCCTCCCTGAGCCCAGAGCGGACCCACCTGGCACCCATCTCTCCAGGCTCTACTCACCTCTCAGCTTGGCATTAGGAAATGTCCTTGGAAAAAAGGGCTCTTCAGTGACCCACTCTTAGGTTCCATCTTTTGTCTGCAGAGCTTAATCTCTCTCTCTCTCTCTCTCTCTCTCTCTCTCTCTCTCTCTCTCTCTCTCTCTCAAGAGTTTTCTCACTCTTCACCTGCCTTCTCTGTAAGGATTTCTTCATAGCTTTGAGGAATCACAAACTCAGCTGTTTCTCTGAGGACTGGTGGTTTGGGCGCTCTATTTCTGTCTGCTCTAGCACCGGGAACCTCCCAGGAGGGCCCACAGCTGGACAGCTCAGCAGCTCTCCAGCTCTGCAGCTTGGCAGCTTGGTAAGTTCGCAGCTCTGCAGCTCAGGCTCCTCCTGCCTCAGCCTGCTGGTGGCTGGCCGACACCATCACTGCTTCAGCTCCTTTAGAAAGGTTGGCACTGCCGGGCATTGTGACTCATGCCTTTAATCCCAGCACTCTGGAGAGTGAGGGCACAGGATTACTGAGCTGCATGGCAACCTAGGATACAGAGGACTTTTAGGTGGAGCTTGAACTACAAAGCACAACACCGTCTCCCACAGACAAGTCTGACAGACGCAGGATGGGTCAAAGGGAAAAACTGTATTTGGAGGCCACTTCTTTATCATTTGCTACATTGCCCAGGCTAGGCATGAATTGGGGACCCTACTGCTTCAGCCTCCCAGAGTGCCACGAGTAGTGGTGTGTGCCATCACAGACGGCTCCTCCCAGGCACATTTTGGAAAAGCCAGACCCAGAGCAAGGGCAAGCAGCAGCAACTTGCACCTGTGCGCAGGTATGCACAGGCAACTAGAAATCCAGTGGGCAGTGCTGAGCTGGGGGAGCCCCCTACCTCAGCTGCTCAACCTCCAGTCCTGGCCCTTTTCTCCCCTACTTCCCTTATGTGTCTCATGGACCTGCCTCTGCCTCTCCCTCCTCTCCTGCAATGCTGTTTCCAAAAGAGGGTGCAGAATCCACGCAGGAGCTGAGTGTGGCTGCCAGAGCCTGCAGTCCAGGCATTTGCAAGCCTGAGGTAGGAGCATGTGGTTGTCTCAGCAGGTGTGAAATGTCTGCACAGGCACTCTGCTAAAGAGATCCACACTGCACACCTGCAGAAAGGAGAAAGGAGGATTCAGGCATGGTGGTGCATGCCCAAAGCACAAAAGCTAAGCCAAAAACCACATGGAGAAGCTGAGCCTTTTTGGATGCGGCCTCTGCTTGGTGGCTCTCAGTTCTAGTCAGCCAAGTGCAGAGGAATTCTTATGGTCTGAGGGCCGATTTGTTTTCCAGGAGCTGAACAATCTTGCTTGGAGGTGTATTCTTGGTCCTGATCCTTGCTGGATGTATGTGTGTGGGGGGGATACTCGAACTTGTGGGGTGAGCTGCTCAAAGGCTGGCCTTGGAGCCTTTGCTTTTGCTAGAATCCAAGGGTGTTTAGGGCAAAGACTCAGGGTTGGAGGCATGGGCCCAAGGGAGCGGGAATGGGAAGTTGTGAAAGCCGACAGTCAGCTGTCCCTGCAGACCCTGAAAATGATGCCAGTTCCTTTGGGTCTTGACAGGGGATGAGACGAGCTGGGCATTTTAGGGCTAAGAGACCTGGGAGGACAGAAGCTCCTTGACATGCGTTCAAGAAGAGCCTAGCAGGGATCGGACTCACACACATTTTGAGTTTTGTAGTAATGGGACTGAACGCAGGCTTCAAGACAACCTGCATCCTCAACTTTTTATTTTACTTTATTTTATTGATTTCTTCAAGTTTTGAGACAGAGCTTTGCTATGCACTTCAGCTGGCCATGAAGTCACTTACTGTGAAACACAGGCTGGCTTCTATGTGTCAGGGATGCTCCTTTCTCAAGCTTCCAAGTGCTGGAACTGCAGGCTCTGGCTGCCACACGAGCTCCTGCGTGGCTTCTGGACCCTACTTCTGGAAACAGCATTACAGGAGAGGAGGGAGAGGCAGAGACCCCGGCACAAGGCACAGGGCTGTAGCAGGGGATAACAGAAGAGGCCCAGCACTGGAGGCTGATCATGTCAGGTAGGGCTAGCTCAGCACGGCCCCATGGATTTCTAGCCGCGTGTGCGCAAGTGAGTGCATGTGCAAGGCGCTGCTGTTTGTCATTGTTCTGGGTCTGGCTTTCCCAACATATGCCTGGGAGGGGGCGTCTGTGATGGCACACACTACTACTCCCAGCACTCTGGGAAGCTGAAGTGGGAAGTCGCCAAATCATGCCTAGCCTGGGCAATGTAGCAAATGAGGAGGAACTGGCCTCCAAATACAGCTTTTCCTTTGCCCCATCTCTGAGTCTGTTAGTCTGCCTGTAGGAGACAGTGTTGTGCTTTGTAGGAGCCCTGGCTGCCCTGCAACTCAGTAATCTCTGTCTCCTCAGGCTCTAGAGTGCTAGGATGAAAAGGCATGAGCCACCACACCTAGCAGGGCCAACCTTTCAAAAGGAGCTGAAGCAGTGGTGGTGTTGGCCAGCCAGTAGAAGGCTGAAGCAGGAGGAGGCTGGGCTGCAGTGCTGCCCAGCTGCCAAGCTGCAGAGCTGGAGAGCTGCTGACCCGTCCAGCTGTGGGCCCTCCTGGGAGGTTCCTGGTGCTAAGGCACACAGAAATAGAGCACCCAAGCAGCTAGTCCCGACTGTGCTAAGAGACGTCTGCCCGCAGGAGAACCTCCTGCTGCCCGCCACGACACCAGCTACTGACTGTGGCCTGGGAGCCCTGAGGTGCGGCCTGAGCCCTAAAGCAAGCTGGAGGCCTGCCTGAGGGCCCAGGGGACCTGGTCCCCACACTGAGCAAGTGTTTACTGCAGTGGGGTGGAGCGGTGAAGATGCTTGAGGGGTTCTCTGTGTGTGCCAAGACCTGCCAGTGAGGGTCCTCACCGTGTGTTGGCATTGCAGATTATGTAACCTGCAAGTTAGAACCAGGAAATGGAATAACACTGTGTTGGGGATGTCCATCTGTGCCTGGCTCTGCCCTCAATCTGCAGTACTGAGAGACAATTCAAGAAATAAATGGTCTAATTCACTCCCATCTTTGTCTCGGCACTTTTGTGTCTACCTGTCTATTTATCTTTCTTCCTTTCTTCCTTTTTTTCTGGTTTAGTTTGCTTGGTTTTTTTTTGTTTGTTTGTTTGCTTGTTTGTTTGTTTGGTTGGTTGGTTTTCTTTTTTTTAACTACCACCCTGTTTCTTTTTAATCACAGTAGCTTTATAGTATAATCTCAAATCAGGGATTATAATGCCCCCTGTCTGGTCTATGCTGTTCAGGATCACCTTTGGTATTCTAGGTCTCTTCCCGTTCCACATGAATTTTAGGATTGCTTCCTCTAATTATTTGAGATATGCTATTAGAAAATTGACTGGAATTGCATTGAATTCACATAACTTATGGAAGTATCGGGGCCTAACACTGCAGGAATAATTGATTCCCAGTGTCCAAAGTCTTGGTATCATTTCAGTATTTCTGTGTACCATTGCAGGAGGAGTCCTGCAACGGAGAGAGCAGCAGAGTAAAAATGTCCATGTGTAACCCAGACTGGCTTCTAGGTCTCCGGGATGCTCTTGCCACAGGCTTCCAAGTGCTGGGACTGCAGGCTCTGGCTGCCACACCCAGCTACTGCCTTGCCACCTGGACCCTCCTTCTGGAAACAGAATTGCAGGAGAGGAGGAAGAGGCAGAGGCAGCTGCATGAGGCACAGGGTGGAAGCCGGGTAGAAGAGAGCCAAGACTGGAGGCTGAGCAGCTGAGGTGGGGGGCTCCCCCTAGCTCAGCATCGGCCCCTGGATTGCTGGTTGCCTGTGCGCATGTGTGCGCATGTGTGCGCATGCGCAGGTGCAAGGCGCTGCTGCTTGCTCTTTATCTGAGTCCTGCTTTGCCAAGAGGTGCCTGGAAGGAGCCAGGAATGATGGCACACTCTGCTACTCGCCTCGCTCTGCGAGGCTGAAGCAGGAGGATCCCCAGTTTACGCCTAGGCTGGGCAACTTAGCAAATGAGGAAGAATTGGCCTCAAAATACAATTTTTCATTCTATTGGTGTGTCTGTTTGCACACCCATCAGTCTGTTTGAGACAGAGTTGTGCTTTACACATCAGGCTCAGCCTGAAGGTCCTCTGTAGCCGAGGCTGCAGTGCAGTTCAGGAATCCTGTCCCCTCGGTGTGTTGGGATTAAAGGCGTGTAGCTGAGGCTGCAGCGCAGTTCAGTAATCCTGTCCCCTCAGTTTGTTGGGATTAAAGGCGTGAGCCAGCACGCCCAGCAGTGCCAACCATTCAAAAGGAGCTGAAGCTGTGGTGGTGTTGCCCAGTGAGCAGAAGGCTGAGGCAGGAGGATCTAGAGCCGTGAGCCCTCTGGCGCGGATCTAGGTGCTAGAGAGGACAAAACAGAGTGACCAAGCCACTAGTAGTCAGAGGTGAGCCCTCAAATTGACAAAGGAATCCTAAGGAACAAGGGAGGTGAAAAGTGAGAGAAATGTATTGAGAGAGAGACAGACAGACAGACAGTCAGACAGACAGACAGACAGAGACAAGAGAGATCGAGCTCTTGAGAAAAGAGAGGGAACCTAAGAGTGGGTCGCCCAAAGCCCCCTTGTCCAAGGACATTTCCTAGTGCAAAACTGAGAGGTGAGTAGAGGTGTCGAGTTGGGTGGCAGGTGGGTCCGCTCTGGGCTCAGGGAAATGACAGGGAGCGGCGCTGGGGGAGGAGGGATGGGAAGGGGAGGCAGATCCCCAGGGAGAGAAGCAGCAGCCAGAGTTGGGTGCTTTGTTGTCTGGTCCCTCAAGTGTCCTGAGGGCTGAGCCTGTCTGACCGGCCGCCCTCCCTCCTCGGGCTCTCTGTCTCCCCAGCTAAACCATGGCGAGCAGCGCTGGCCTGGGCGAAGGTGGACGCGCCTGGTGGACACGGCCCGAGCACTTCCGCAAGCCGCTGGTCTTCTACGTGGACGTGGAGCAGGAGGAGCTCGTGTTCGGCCCAAGGGATGCGCACGGGGAGGGCCAGCTTCGGCGCCTGGAGGAGCACAGCCACACGCTGATCCAGCTGGAGGCCTGGGCAACAGCAGACGGCCACACCCGCGTGAGCGTGGTGGGGCCGGCAGGGGCGCGGCGCTGGCTGCTGGAGTTGGTGCGCAGCCTGGGCAGCGGGGAGCCGGGGGCCCGAACCCGCGGCCTTGCCCTGCTGCAGCTGGTGCGCAGCCGCCCGCTCCACCCAGGCGACCTGACTGCTGCAGCCTGGGAGCAGCCCCTGCACGCCCACCTGGCCCTGCCCATCGTCCTCAGGGTGCCCTGCAGCCTGAGGCTGCCCGTGCTCTTCCCCCTCCTGTGGATCAGCCTCTCTGCCTTCTGGGGCTCCTTGCACCTGTGAGCAGGGCCCGACTGCCCTGGGGTCCACTGGGCGCCCCGCGAGACACAGGCACCCAGTGGGAGCTGGCCATGCGGCATGGGCCCAGATCCTCCGCCTCACACCTGTGGGCCCGACTGTGCTAAGAGACGTCTGCCCGCAGGAGAACCTCCTGCTGCCCGCCATGACACCAGCTACTGACTGTGGCCTGGGAGCCCTGAGGTGCGGCCTGAGCCCTAAAGCAAGCTGGAGGCCTGCCTGAGGGCCCAGGGGACCTGGTCCCCACACTGAGCAAGTGTTTACTGCAGTGGGGTGGAGCGGTGAAGATGCTTGAGGGGTTCTCTGTGTGTACCAAGACCTGCCAGTGAGGGTCCTCACCTTGTGTTGGCATTGCAGATTATGTAACCTGCAAGTTAGAACCAGGAAATGGAATAACACTGTGTTGGGGATGTCCATCTGTGCCTGGCTCTGCCCTCAATCTGCAGTCCTGAGAGACAATTCAAGAAATAAATGGTCTAATTCACTCCCATCTTTGTCTCGGCACTTTTGGGTCTATCTGTCTAGTTTGCTTGGTTTTTTATTTATTTATTTTTTTTTTGTTTGGTTGGTGTTTTTTTTAACTACCACCCTGTTTCTTTTTAATCACAGTAGCTTTATAGTATAATCTCAAATCAGGGATTATAATGCCCCCTGTCTGGTCTATGCTGTTCAGGATCACCTTTGGTATTCTAGGTCTCTTCCCGTTCCAGATGAATTTTAGGATTGCTTCCTCTAATTATTTGAGATATGCTATTAGAAAATTGACTGGAATTGCATTGAATTCACATAACTTATGGAAGTATCGGGGCCTGACACTGCAGGAATAATTGATTCCCAGTGTCCAAAGTCTTGGTATCATTTCAGTATTTTCTGTGTACCATTGCAGGAGGAGTCCTGCAACGGAGAGAGCAGCAGAGTAAAAATGTCCATGTGTAACCCAGACTGGCTTCTAGGTCTCCGGGATGCTCTTGCCACAGGCTTCCAAGTGCTGGGACTGCAGGCTCTGGCTGCCACACCCAGCTACTGCCTTGCCACCTGGACCCTCCTTCTGGAAACAGAATTGCAGGAGAGGAGGAAGAGGCAGAGGCAGCTGCATGAGGCACAGGGTGGAAGCCCGGGAGAAGAGAGCCAAGACTGGAGGCTGAGCAGCTGAGGGGGGGGCTCCCCCAAGCTCAGCATCGGCCCCTGGGTTGCTGGTTGCCTGCGCGCATGTGTGCGCATGCGCAGGTGCAAGGCGCTGCTGCTTGCTCTTTATCTGAGTCCTGCTTTGCCAAGAGGTGCCTGGAAGGAGCCAGGAATGATGGCACACTCTGTACTCGCCTCGCTCTGCGAGGCTGAAGCAGGAGGATCCCCAGTTTACGCCTAGGCTGGGCAACTTAGCAAATGAGGAAGAATTGGCCTCAAAATACAGTTTTTCATTCTATTGGTGTGTCTGTTTGCCCACCCATCAGTCTGTTTGAGACAGAGTTGTGCTTTACACATCAGGCTCAGCCTGAAGGTCTTCTGTAGCCCAGGCTGCAGTGCAGTTCAGGAATCCTGTCCCCTCGGTGTGTTGGGATTAAAGGCGTGTAGCTGAGGCTGCAGTGCAGTTCAGTAATCCTGTCCCCTCAGTTTGTTGGGATTAAAAAGGCGTGAGCCAGCACGCCCAACAGTGCCAACCATTCAAAAGGAGCTGAAGCTGTGGTGGTGTTGCCCAGTGAGCAGAAGGCTGAGGCAGGAGGATCTAGAGCTGTGAGCCCTCTGGCGCGGATCTAGGTGCTAGAGAGGACAGAACAGAGTGACCAAGCCACTAGTGGTCAGAGGTGAGCCCTCAAATTGACAAAGGAATCCTAAGGAACAAGGGAGGTGAAAAGTGAGAGAAATGTATTGAGAGAGAGACAGACAGACAGACAGACAGACAGACGGAGACAAGAGAGATCGAGCTCTTGAGAAAAGAGAGGGAACCTAAGAGTGGGTCGCCCAAAGCCCCCTTGTCCAAGGACATTTCCTAGTGCAAAACTGAGAGGTGAGTAGAGGTGTCGAGTTGGGTGCCAGGTGGGTCCGCTCTGGGCTCAGGGAAATGACAGGGAGCGGCGCTGGGGGAGGAGGGATGGGAAGGGGAGGCAGATCCCCAGGGAGAGAAGCAGCAGCCAGAGTTGGGTGCCTTGTTGTCTGGTCCCTCAAGTGTCCTGAGGGCTGAGCCTGTCTGACCGGCCGCCCTCCCTCCTCGGGCTCTCTGTCTCCCCAGCTAAACCATGGCGAGCAGCGCTGGCCTGGGCGAAGGTGGACGCGCCTGGTGGACACGGCCCGAGCACTTCCGCAAGCCGCTGGTCTTCTACGTGGACGTGGAGCAGGAGGAGCTCGTGTTCGGCCCAAGGGATGCGCACGGGGAGGGCCAGCTTCGGCGCCTGGAGGAGCACAGCCACACGCTGATCCAGCTGGAGGCCTGGGCCATGCCAGAGGGCCACACCCGCGTGAGCGTGGTGGGGCCGGCGGGGGCGCGGCGCTGGCTGCTGGAGTTGGTGCGCAGCCTGGGCAGCGGGGAGCCGGGGGCCCGAACCCGCGGCCTTGCCACGCTGCAGCTGGTGCGCAGCCGCCCGCTCCACCCAGGCGACCTGACTGCTGCAGCCTGGGAGCAGCCCCTGCACGCCCACCTGGCCCTGCCCATCGTCCTCAGGGTGCCCTGCAGCCTGAGGCTGCCCGTGCTCTTCCCCCTCCTGTGGATCAGCCTCTCTGCCTTCTGGGGCTCCTTGCGCCTGTGAGCAGGGCCCGACTGCCCTGGGGTCCACTGGGCGCCCCGCGAGACACAGGCACCCAGTGGGAGCTGGCCATGCGGCATGGGCCCAGATCCTCCGCCTCACACCTGTGGGCCCGACTGTGCTAAGAGACGTCTGCCCGCAGGAGAACCTCCTGCTGCCCGCCATGACACCAGCTACTGACTGTGGCCTGGGAGCCCTGAGGTGCGGCCTGAGCCCTAAAGCAAGCTGGAGGCCTGCCTGAGGGCCCAGGGGACCTGGTCCCCACACTGAGCCAAGTGTTTACTGCAGTGGGGTGGAGCGGTGAAGATGTTTGAGGGGTTCTCTATGTGTACCAAGACCTGCCAGTGAGGGTCCTCACCGTGTGTTGGCATTGCAGATTATGTAACCTGCAAGTTAGAACCAGGAAATGGAATAACACTGTATTGGGGATGTCCATCTGTGCCTGGGCTCTGCCCTCAATCTGCAGTCCTGAGAGACAATTCAAGAAATAAATGGTCTAATTCACTCCCATCTTTGTCTCGGCACGTTTGTGTCTACCTGTCTAGTTTGCTTGGTTTTTTATTTATTTTTTTTTTGTTTGGTTGGTGTTTTTTTTAACTACCACCCTGTTTCTTTTTAATCACAGTAGCTTTATAGTATAATCTCAAATCAGGGATTATAATGCCCCCTGTCTGGTCTATGCTGTTCAGGATCACCTTTGGTATTCTAGGTCTCTTCCCGTTCCACATGAATTTTAGGATTGCTTCCTCTAATTATTTGAGATATGCTATTAGAAAATTGACTGGAATTGCATTGAATTCACATAACTTATGGAAGTATCGGGGCCTGACACTGCAGGAATAATTGATTCCCAGTGTCCAAAGTCTTGGTATCATTTCAGTATTTCTGTGTACCATTGCAGGAGGAGTCCTGCAACGGAGAGAGCAGCAGAGTAAAAATGTCCATGTGTAACCCAGACTGGCTTCTAGGTCTCCGGGATGCTCTTGCCACAGGCTTCCAAGTGCTGGGACTGCAGGCTCTGGCTGCCACACCCAGCTACTGCCTTGCCACCTGGACCCTCCTTCTGGAAACAGAATTGCAGGAGAGGAGGAAGAGGCAGAGGCAGCTGCATGAGGCACAGGGTGGAAGCCCGGTAGAAGAGAGCCAAGACTGGAGGCTGAGCAGCTGAGGTGGGGGGCTCCCCCAAGCTCAGCATTGGCCCCTGGATTGCTGGTTGCCTGCGCGCATGTGTGCGCATGCGCAGGTGCAAGGCGCTGCTGCTTGCTCTTTATCTGAGTCCTGCTTTGCCAAGATGTGCCTGGAAGGAGCCAGGAATGATGGCACACTCTGTACTCGCCTCGCTCTGCGAGGCTGAAGCAGGAGGATCCCCAGTTTACGCCTAGGCTGGGCAACTTAGCAAATGAGGAAGAATTGGCCTCAAAATACAGTTTTTCATTCTATTTGTCTGTCTGTTTGCCCACCCATCAGTCTGTTTGAGACAGAGTTGTGCTTTACACATCAGGCTCAGCCTGAAGGTCCTCTGTAGCCCAGGCTGCAGTGCAGTTCAGGAATCCTGTCCCCTCGGTGTGTTGGGATTAAAGGCGTGTAGCTGAGGCTGCAGTGCAGTTCAGTAATCTTGTCCCCTCAGTTTGTTGGGATTAAAAAGGCGTGAGCCAGCACGCCCAACAGTGCCAACCATTCAAAAGGAGCTGAAGCTGTGGTGGTGTTGCCCAGTGAGCAGAAGGCTGAGCCAGGAGGATCTAGAGCCGTGAGCCCTCTGGCGCGGTTCTAGGTGCTAGAGAGGACAAAACAGAGCGACCAAGCCACTAGTAGTCAGAGGTGAGCCCTCAAATTGACAAAGGAATCCTAAGGAACAAGGGAGGTGAAAAGTTAGAGAAATGTATTGAGAGAGAGAGACAGACAGACAGAGACAAGAGAGATCGAGCTCTTGAGAAAAGAGAGGGAACCTAAGAGTGGGTCGCCCAAAGCCCCCTTGTCCAAGGACATTTCCTAGTGCAAAACTGAGAGGTGAGTAGAGGTGTCGAGTTGGGTGGCAGGTGGGTCCGCTCTGGGCTCAGGGAAATGACAGGGAGCGGCGCTGGGGGAGGAGGGATGGGAAGGGGAGGCAGATCCCCAGGGAGAGAAGCAGCAGCCAGAGTTGGGTGCCTTGTTGTCTGGTCCCTCAAGTGTCCTGAGGGCTGAGCCTGTCTGACCGGCCGCCCTCCCTCCTCGGGCTCTCTGTCTCCCCAGCTAAACCATGGCGAGCAGCGCTGGCCTGGGCGAAGGTGGACGCGCCTGGTGGACACGGCCCGAGCACTTCCGCAAGCCGCTGGTCTTCTACGTGGACGTGGAGCAGGAGGAGCTCGTGTTCGGCCCAAGGGATGCGCACGGGGAGGGCCAGCTTCGGCGCCTGGAGGAGCACAGCCACACGCTGATCCAGCTGGAGGCCTGGGCCATGCCAGAGGGCCACACCCGCGTGAGCGTGGTGGGGCCGGCGGGGGCGCGGCGCTGGCTGCTGGAGTTGGTGCGCAGCCTGGGCAGCGGGGAGCCGGGGGCCCGAACCCGCGGCCTTGCCATGCTGCAGCTGGTGCGCAGCCGCCCGCTCCACCCAGGCGACCTGACTGCTGCAGCCTGGGAGCAGCCCCTGCACGCCCACCTGGCCCTGCCCATCGTCCTCAGGGTGCCCTGCAGCCTGAGGCTGCCCGTGCTCTTCCCCCTCCTGTGGATCAGCCTCTCTGCCTTCTGGGGCTCCTTGCGCCTGTGAGCAGGGCCC